TTCAAAGATGATATCTTTGAATGTACGTATGAGGCGCCGTTTGTGCCATAATTATAAATAAAAAAATATGTTAATATAAAACAATATTTTAAAAATATATAAATGTAAATCAAAAATTTTATATAATAATATGCGTAAATATATTTTATCAATAAAATTTATATATATATATATATAAATATGTATATATAAATATATATTATCACACAAAGTTATTTATATTTGCTTAACCGTTATCATTTATATTTTTAGAAGTTTATCCATATATATTTTTAGCATGTGCCATAATATACAGTTGGTTGCATACGCAGCGGGCGCTTACTAATGAAGTTGGCGTCTTTTCATATTACGAGTGGCAGCACTGGAAGGACATATCAACTGTCAAAGTTGTTCATGTTTAAACAAAAGTGATTTTAAAACACTGTTTTGCGTCATTTTGCGTTTTCGTGAAACTTAAAACCAGAATATCAACAATATGTCATTATCTCCGTAGAAACTCCAAGTTATTAAATAACAAAACAAAACATATGGTATATAATGCGTATACTAACCCAACCAATCCCTTGTCTATGATACTAACTCTCACTTACTGTATCTACCTGCTTTCTGGGGCCAGGCAAGAAAAAAGGACATAAAAACCATTCAAACTACACAAAATAAAATTCTAAAACTTCTATTTAACAAATCACCCAGAACATGTACAAAAGAGCTTTATAATGAACTACAAATTTTAAACGTAAGTGAATTAATTAAAATGGACAGTGTCAAAATAATATATAAAATTAAAAATGGTCTGATTTGTACTGATGTAGAATTAACTAGAAATTGTGATATTTACGAATATTTTACAAGAAATAACTCGCAGTATTATAATATAATATAATATATAATAATATACGATCTGAAGATGCTACAGTGTAGCGAAACAATTGTCATATTTAAATAAAATAGTGAAACTTTTAAACAGTGTAGTTTATATTAAAATAAAACAATATTAACATGGAGTTTCATCAAGTAAAAGTCGAAACAATTAATTATATAATATAATATATTATAGCAAATACAAATACAAGTTTTGGCAAAAGAAGAATAACCCAAACTGCCTTGAATTGGTTTAATGAACTTCCGAAACATATTAAGTTGCAACAAAACCTAAAAGCTTTTTCTTCACATGTTAAGGACTATTATATGAAATTAAGAAAGTGATTTGACTCATGTGTAAAATTATATAAACAGATGTTATACTCATAGTTTTGTTATATTTATATTTCTACTCATATTTTCTGTGATGTTAACTTAGGAATATTTACTCATAAATTTACCTAGGTAGTTTGTTTATAGTTTTTGTGATATACAGGGTGACCCAGTGCTCTGTGATCGGTGCATATTTTTTTTGCTATTAAAGATATCGATATGAAATTTTTATAGAAAATATGATCCAACTAAAGCTATTTTTCAAAATTATTTTGAACAAAATTCCACTTCCGGTTTCACCGGAAGTGACATCGACAATGTTATTTCAAATGGAATACCCTGTATATTTTTTGATTTTTAAATTTCATATGTAATTCCTGATAAAATTTCTATAACATTTCCTATACCTAAACTCAATAGTTTTCGAGTTATTAATTTTTTTCGTAAAAATTTGACAGTTGCGCCTTCAACAAAAATAGCCTATAACTTCTTTGTTATTAGGTCTATTGGTATGCGGTTTGGATTTTTGGAATGTTGAAACATTGTTTTAAATATCCCGTATCAAACTTTTCCATATTTCTAACTAATTACTTGATAAAAATTAGGGTGAATTTGACAAACTTTAAACGATAATAACTTTCTTATTTTTAATGGAACGCTATGTATATTTTTGCAGAATTAAATTTCTTATTAAATTCCCTTTTGATTGATATAACCATTCCCTATACCTAAAGTTAATAATAACAAAGATATTTCACAATTTTGTAATAATTTAGGTATCAACAAACCTGAGAAATCGACAAGCGACTTATTTTGACGTATCCATGGATACCAATAACAAAAATTGTTTAAAATCTAATTGTTTCACTTTTTCTAGTATTTGTTTAGTTAAAATGGATTTTACGCGACAAGAAATGATAAATATGGTTTATTGTATTGGAGAAGCGGATCGAAATGTTCTGCTAGCTAGTAGAATTTATCATCAAAAATATCCAGATTCAAGATTGCCCCGAGTAATTTATTTCAAAAATTGAGGGATAGATTTGAATTGACGGGTAATATTTCTTACAAGAAAGAAGAATTGATTGGACGGAGAATTAATGAAGACCATGAATTAGAAGTTCTTTTGACGATAGAGGAAAGTCCTTTTTTGAGTACTCGGGAGATCATAAGAGAAACTGGTCTATCGCAAAGCAGTGTGAATTTTAAACCATAGATAAATTTCACCCGTACCATATGGAACTTCATCAGAAACTTTATGATGACGATTTTCGGCATCGAGTAGATTTTTCAAATAGAATTCTTGAAATTGTGCATGCTAATGGCAACTTCTTAAACGGCATTTTATTTTCGGATGAATCTACTTTCGAGAGTAGTGGATTTGTTAATAGGCACAATTTGCACTATTATACGACTCATAACCCTTATTGGCTGAGAACCATGGATCACCAAAATAGGTGGTCATTGAACGTTTGGGGAGGTACTATTGGAGGCCGTGACGTAGACTTGCATACAAAACCGAACATGTGGATTCAGCATGATGGTGCTCCTGTTCATTATAGCCGTATCGTACGGCAGTTTTTAAATCGGAGTTACGCTAACCGTTGGATAGGAAGAGGAGGAACTATTGCTTGGCCAGCTTGCTCCCTAGATCTGACACCCATTGATTTTTTCCTTTGGGGGTATGTAAAGGAAAAAGTTTACAGAGAACGACCAAGCACAGCTGAGGATATGATGCAGCGAATAACCGATGCATTTAATTCTGTTAACGAGGATATGCTAACCCGCGTGAAGCAACCTTTTCTACATAGACTTTGTGACATTTTGTGTGTTCAGCAGAATGGCCGTATATTTGAGCATTTATTATAATTATTAATTAAAGTATTTCGGTAAATTAAATTTTTGATTCTGATTTAATTGATTTTTGTGCTTCTATTATAAGAATAAATAATAATACAATTCAACGAAAGAAATTATTAATAATTATTTCTCTCTGTATTACGTTGAATTGTATTATTTAGAATAACTGGTGGATTATGTGATATGTACTCCTTTTTACCAAAAAGATAATTTCACACTTGAAACAATTAGATTTTAAACAATTTTTGTTATTGGTATCCATGGATACGTCAAAATAACTAGCTTGTCAATTTTTCAGGTGTGTTGATACCTAAATTATTACAAAATTGTGAAATATCTTTGTTATTATTAACTTTAGGTATAGGGAATGGTTATACCAATCAAAAGGTAATTTTATAAGAAATTGAATTCTGCAAAAATATACATAGCGTTCCATTAAAAATAAGAAAGTTATTAACCTTTAAAGTTTGCCAAATTCACCCTAATTTTTATCAAGTAATTGGTTAGAAATATGGCAAAGTTTTATACGGGATATTTAAAACAATGTTTCAAGACTCCAAAAATCCAAACCGCATACCAATACACCTAATAACAAAGAAGTTATAGGCTATTTTTGTTGAAGGCGCAACTGTCAAATTTTTACGAAAAAAATTAATAACTCGAAAACTATTGAGTTTAGGTATAGGGAATGTTATAGAAATTTTATCAGGAATTACATATTAAATTTAAAAATCAAAAAATATACAGGGTATTCTATTTAAAATAACAATGTTGATGTCACTTCCGGTGAAACCGGAAGTGGAATTTGGTTCAAAATAATTTTGGAAAATAGGTTTAGTTGGATCATATTTTCTATAAATATTTCATATCGATATCTTTAATAGCAAAAAAAATATGGACCGATCACAGAGCACTGGGTCACCCTGTATAAGTACCTACCTGATATGGAATCTTGTATTCTTTTAAGGTTAATAAATAAATAAATAAAAAAAAAAAGGTTGTGGCGAGTTTTTTTATTAGGTTTCTAATATAAACTTTATAGCATAAATTTTATAATACAAAAGGTGCGGTCGTTGAGTTATAAATCTGATTTTGGGAATTACAAATTAAGAATATGGAGGTTCAACAATATTTTGCACAATTAGTTGATGATGTAGGCCAAATGGAAGACCTAATAATGCAGAATAATATTGATATTCGACTTCTCGAAGAAGATGCTGTTAAATTGGAGAATCACTGCTAAACTTTTGCTGTCTTTATGGGTATTTATCAAGCTATTGATGCTGAAATTCTTCATAATTTAAACAAAGCTTATGGAATAATTTGGAATTTATATTATACTGTTGACTGAACGTTTTATTCAAAGAACACCTTTGCCTTATATCTATGAATTGAACCAATGTATGTAACACGCCACAAACATACAGGTATCACGAGAACGCAAAAGTTTTGCGGCAAAACACAACACAAAACGCTTGTTGCACTTTTGTTTTAAAAATGTGACAGACTGTCACTGACAGTTGAACTGTTCTTCCAGTGCTGCCACTCGTAATGTGAAAGACGCTAACTTCATTCGTAAGCGCCCGCTGCGTATGCAACCCAGTATATATTATGGCACATGCTAAAATATATATGGATAAACTGCTAAAAATATAAATGATAACGGTTAAGGAAATATAAATAACTTTGTGTGATAAAATATATATAAATAAATTTTATTGATAAAATATATATCTCAATTTATAATTTTATTTCTTTAAGTAATATTTTATAATTTTTGATTTACATTTATATATTTTTAAAATATTGTTTTATATTTATTAATTTTTTATTTATAATTATGGCACAAACGGCGCCTCATATGTACGTATCAAATAAAAATAAAATTATTGGTAAAATATATTTACAATAAAAAATTATAATAATTTTTGAATGTACCTATCAAATAAAAATAAAATTATTGGTAAAATATATTTACAATAAAAATTATAATAATTTTTCGTCTAAAATGTATTTTCCTAAACTTCCGGATCTAAAAGTCTTTATCATAATTTGGGCAGCTGCATCAAAATTTGGTTTCATCACATATTCATTTAAATGATTTCTTATTTTTAACATTCTATTATGTGTTACACTAATATGACTAAGAACTTCTAAAATATTGTCTGAGGGTTTTTCAAGTTTAAAATAATCGACATAACTAAAATATTGATGACTATTTAACCAGTATAATAAATAATCAACTATAATTCTTTCCCCTACAAAATGATCCTGTATTGTGGCACATAGCGCCAGCTTTAGACCTGATTCTATGTTTGTTATGTTTGGTGTAAGAATTCCAGGTGTATCTAACATGTAAAATAATGGATTTTCGGACATTTTTATTTTATGCATTACGCTTTTTGTAATACCAGGTTGCGCTCCTACAGGACTAGCTTTACCCTTATGCAAATTTTGGATTCGTAGCATATTAATCAATGAAGATTTTCCTACATTTGGTACACCAATAATCATCATACAATAATCATCAGCTCCTGTTCTATTATATCTATCAGCATTTTTTATCAACTCTTTCGCTAATGGAAATATTTTTGCCACCCCTTTACACCTCTCATTCTTACAGTTCGTAAAAACAACATTTTCATACTCATTCTTCAATTTATTTACTATTCTGTCCTTGTATTTCTTCTCTATCAAATCCTCCTTATTCAGTACCAAGATGTGAGGCTTAATTCCGCTCACAGTTTGTTTAAAATCGGTATTTTTTCCAGATATTGGTATTCGAGCATCATGTACTTCGACTATACAGTCAACTGATTTTAATTTTTGTTGCATCTGCTTTAAACCTTTTCCCATGTGCCCTGGAAACCATCTTAATAAGTCTTTGTCCACTACTTTAAATGCGCTTCTGAAACATTCAGATGATAGTTTTTGGGACATTTTACTAAATGTGAGATATTGAGGTTATAACGGTAAAAAATGTTTTTAGATATTTTAGTTAATTATGTTAATTGTGGTAAAATTTTTAATTACTTTTAAATAAGGGACTTTAGTAAAAAATATTGTTTTTGTATGTACAAATTTAAAATGTTATGTGAGATTTTAAACTTGGCGCTTATATTTAGGGTTTTTATGTTCCCCTAAAATGTAAATTTAATTTTTAGTACCATAGAAAAACAGTTAAATTTAATATTTTATTGTTAATATTATAAAGGTTTAAACCATTAAGGTCTTTTTAATTGCTATTAGCATAAAATTCTGCCTTTGAGGTAAATATTAAATTTTAATAATTAAAAGTATTCAGGTAGTTTTGGTCTAGGGTTTTGGTTATTTAAGTTGGTAGTGTGTAGGACGCCATTTCATTTTGCCGTTGTTTGCGTCACACCGGTGTTTGTGTTCGTCCATTGAGTTTTGTAAGAAATAAGAATGGTAAGTTAATAAAACGGAAAAAAGCGTATTATTTCTAACATTTGTAACGTTTTCTAGAGTCGAGGTCGTTCAGCAACAACGACCAAAGTGTTTGTGGGCAGTTTGCCGCCAAACGTATCCACTGATGATTTGAGAGGGCTTTTCGAGCCCTACGGGGTCATTGCTGAATGTGATATTTCAAATAGGTGCGGTTTTCTGCACCTCGATGACCAAGATTTGGCCATGAAAGCAATCAATGACTTAAATGGGACTGACTTTATGGGTGCCAAAATATCTGTTGAAAAAGGTAAGTTTTTGTTTGATCAATTGATGTTTGAACAAAATGGGTTCTAAACATGAGAAAAAAGTGCTTTAATTCGATTACTTTTAAGCCGGATTTATAGTTCTAAAAAGTAGCAGTAAGCCTGTGTTGCCAATATAATAATATAATAAAATGTCTGCAATGTGATTGGCTGGAGTAGAAGTAGCAGCAAGAAAAGTTAAAACTTGGCCATCTCTTACGCCAACGACCTTGGTTGCTACTGAATGCTACTCCAGCCATTCGCATTGCAGCATTTGAAGGGGTTAAAAGCAGTCAGAAGCCTACACTCTTAAAAAAGACCTGGTATTTGTAACTAACTTATTATCGTTGGGGTAAAACTGTTGCAGAAAATAAAATTTTTTGTTTTTTGTAATCAGTACCTTTATATGTGTAACGGCTTGCATCATTACCTGAAAAGATTTAGTTTTGTTGTTGAGTATTATTTACTGCAAAAAGGCGAATAAGTTATTTTAACTAAAACTTTGTGTTGGCTAGAAGTATTGACAACATTATCTCAAAAAAATCATTTCGGCGGTAAAATGTTTTTGTTGGACCAAATATTTAAGTAAAATTCTCAGCTGACCGAAATTAGTCCGTGGAACTAACGGTTCGGTTGTATAAACTATGCGTCACTTTTCACACAGCTAAGACACCAGCGGTGTGAAACAAAGTGTCAGTTGGGGATGTTGACTCTGTAGGTTAATGCAACTGCAAACTTTGTGCATTTCGCGCGCGATTTGTCCAGCCCGGCGCGTGCTTTACTTTTAACCTGTAAACAAACGGTGTTGCACGGCGTCCAGACTTCGGTGGTGTTTGTTCTTTTGTATTTGTGTATCAGCTCGTGTGTAGTGTATATTTTAGGTAAGAAACTAGTTTATTACAATTAGTCATTTGCCCCTGTAAATTCAGTGGCGACATACTTTTTAACTATTCATATATATAAGAATATATTCTTATGTGTTGGTTACTTATAGATATCTCGAACAAATAATATGGTTGAGCGGACTGAAGTAGCAGATTTATTAGGAACATGGGGTTTACCTGAATTGGTTCCAGTTTTTAAAAGTTAGGTATTATTATTGCACTCCTTTAATTACACTATTGTAGTTTTGGGGTCCGAAAAAAAAAATACAAAAATGTGAAAATGGCATTCCGACTGAAAATGGCCTCCTGAATCCAATGGTGCCCACCAAAAGTCTCCATCACGTCGGAATTTCAAGAATATTTTTGTTTTGTTTTGTTACAGCTCAAGTCGCATTTTTTGTATAGGGCCTATACTATAGGCACTCACACTCAACATTTATCGAATGCTTACCCCTGTTATCATGCAAGTATGTTACGTATACCTAAGAATCATTGTTAAGTTGTTAAACAAAGGCTTGCACTTCACGTAAACATCACGGTTAAGTCAACTTTCATCTTAATGTACCTATCTGTGTATATTTACCGAAGAATCGTTTTTGTTTTATTGTTAAAATATTTATAAATGTTTTCTTAGAGTAATTATTAATTTTTGTTATAATGTTTAAACCAAAATTTGGTGTTTTCAGTTATATTGTTATTTTTTAATTTATAATAAATATTTATAAAACGAACGGGCATGAATTTCCTTTCTCTATTTTTTATAATATTTACACAAAAAGTGTTATATTTACTAAGCAGGTATGTACTGTGGAATAATACCAATTTGTTGTTGCTACTAATGCAAGCATTTAATATTAAATATAACTTAGTTACAGTACAAAACAAATTTATATTATATCAACTATTAAATTCTTTAAATGTACCTTTTTTCATGTAATTTCAATTAAAAACTAAATTCCTGCATGATACAATGTTTGTTGCGATAAATAGCAAGTGCAGTTGTTACAACTTAGACGCTGCTAAAATGACAGACTAATGTGATTGCATTAAATATCAATTATTTGTATGAAAAAAAAAACTAATTTCGATGCACTTAAACTTGTTGGTTGGAGCTACCAATATTGGCTGTTCCGACAACAAACTGTAAAAACAAATTTGTATTGGTTCCCACAACATATTTTTTTGTTGTGCCTATTTTCACTAATAAAATTGGTTCTGGGAACTAAATTTTCATTGCAAATACCAGGTCTTTTCTAAGAGTGTAGGGTCCCCTATAATGTCGCCCCCCTTTAACTTTTTTAATTTAAGCATACCAAAAAATTTAAAAGTTAGTTATGTAGGTACTAAGAAATACTTTTTTTGTAAGTATATAGAAAATGGGAAATTTAATCAGTATACAGGGAAAAACAAAAAGTTTATTTTTTTTTCAATGGTTCATCCTATATATGTATTTATTTTTCGATTCCTTGTAAAATTCTAAGCATATTTCATATAACGTATTTTTGAAATATTTAATTAATTTTTAAGATAATAAGTTGAGATAGTTTGTCTTTATCTTGCTGAGTGTGACGGGGTATGGTATGGTATGGCAACGTGACGTTCGCCGTTCATTAAAATATTTTTAATAAGTATTTTTTTGACTATTTTTATTTTTAAATTTTCATCATGATAGAAAGTCATTTATTTCGTATTTAGTAAATATATACACTTTCAAACGTATGCAATTTTATTACAATAAATTGAAACTTGATATATTTATTTTTGTTTATTTTTCGACATGAGCGCTGGCTCTGTGGCGCGGATTTAGCCTTTTGACTTGGCTCTAGAATCCTTGGACTCCTGAGTCAGGAGTCCTGACTAATAAAAATATTATTTATTTATTTGTTATAAAAGATATTTATTACTTTATTTAAATTTTATTATAAAAACTAAATGAATACTTAAATTCTCAAAATTTGTGTGCTATAAATTGAAATTTACCATATTCAGGGGGGGGCTTAGTTTTTCTGACGAAATATTTCTAGGGGGGTCACAGAAAGCGTGACACAGCGTGACAATGGGGGAGGGGGTCAGAAAAAGCTGATTTTAGCGTGACGTATTTTATAAAAGGCCCCTAGATTATAATTATGAGAACCAGTAAAAAGATATTGAACTTTGAAATTTTTTGCATTTAACATTGAGGCTTATGTGAAATCACAGTTTTTATTTCATTTTATAAAAAGTACCGTTTAGATTCCATTAAAAATTAAGAAAATGAGAGAAAATAATATATAAAACATTTTTTCCACTCCTGACATAGTAAGTAGTATGTTGTGACATTGATTTGACAGAAGTACAACTTACTGAGTGTGCTCTGGTACAATTTTTAAAATTACAATTATCAACATTTGGCGTGATATCTGACACCTTCTTTCCATTTTCGTTCTCATCTATAATTATGGTTTCTGTTGATAACACGGCTTCACTTTCGCTGACATAAGAAATTTTCGTTGAGTTGCTGGTAGATTTTGATAGTATTTTCGATGAATGATAACTATTGTCGTACAAAATTCTATTGGCCACCTCATTTTTATTCGAAATACTGTCTGCGACGTAACTTTTTGCATTAATATAATAATAAACGACTTTATTTGATATAAGCATCCACTAACATAAAAAAGGCGAAGTTTAATCAGAGATTGTTCTTCAACTTAACCATAATGAATGTCCAGTATAAGTCTCACCATTTGGCAGCCCCAGGAAATTTGCAATTTTACTCGGAATTGACGCAAATGTGTTTTTTCCAACAGGTTGTCTTAAGCATTTACCATTCTGATACCACATAAAGAAGCGTTGATGGACACTTCCAATCATGGATCTTATTTTCAGGTATTTTTAAAAAAAATTCAAGTGACAAACAGCCTTTCCCTCCCCCGCGGTACCATATTTTGAATCTGGTATATTCACAATGACTATATTTTCCAAGTCTTGAACATTCTTCATCATCATATCACACAGTTCCTGCGAACGGCAAGCACCTGCTATTCCCGTTATTGCAACTACCGTCATCAAAAGGAAATGACTGTCGTCAGCCTCCACCAAAAATCTATTTATTTCTCCACGGGTGAAAACACTCGATTTTTTGGGTTTATAGCCATCATTTTTTCTTTTAAAAAAAGCCTCGAGTTTTGGGAATTTGGAAATATCGATGTTGTCTTCAATAAACAGTGTTGACTTTAACATCAAATACTCAAACCACAAACTTGCTGGCGACTTTAATACCGTGCTTTTTTTATCCATAAAATATGCCAGCATTGTTGTTTCCGATATTACTGTAGAATTCATTCTCAGGCACCACTTTTTGAAACACTTGTTTGCATCTGGATAACGCCCCTTTGACTTCTCCGGTAGGAAGAAGGCCCATGCAGCATTTGCAGCTTCTTCAATTTCCATTTCTTGCCCATTTTCGTTGAAATTTATCTTACAAAATAAAGAATGCAATTTTTGACATTCCACTTTGTTTGGAAAATAGTCAAATGAAATCCTTACCAACCAAAGGTAAACAATTAAAATTGCTTAAACATAAGCAATTAAAATTAATTATAAAAAACGTTATAAACAATTTGGGAAGTAAGTCTGACCAGCCTCGGACTTTATTGCCAGCCCTCGCTGGCGCAAAAACGTCCTCGACTGGTAACTATGCCTTACTTCCCTTAATGTTTAAATAACTATAAGATACAAAATTACTGCTTCAGAACATGTAGTAGTAATAATTGATAAATAACTGTCAAAAATGCTCTCTATTCTTCCTCTATTTTTAAATATTTACCACCTACTTCTACCTGAATTAACTAAGGCATTGACTATTCACCAATTCTTTAAAGAAATAATGAGAACATATGGAGTGCTCGAATGCGACCTAACAGAAGTATTTACAGCAATGTTACTGTTCTATATAATTCCTGTCACTTCTGCAGAAGCTGAAAGATCATTTATCAAATTAAAAATAATAAAAAATTATTTAAGGAATACTATAGGCCAAGCTCGACTCCGACATTTATCGCTAAAGCCAGTATTACAGTCTGCAATTCTACGTGCAATAATCATGCACGAAGGCATGCGCATAGCGACGTTTCGTGCAA